GGACTGAGGTCAAGGTGCAAGGTCGAATGGTTGACCTTGTAAAAGCCAAGCTTGTGCTCCTTATTAAGTTGGTTGCCGTCAAAGACGATCCTCTGCTGGTCCAGTATGTTTGCCTTGACATCACCGGCTGTATCTGATGATTCGACCTCAAGGGTGACAGTCTCGCCATTATTGAGCATCTTCACGAAAATCTGCGTGCCGAAGTCGAGGTGCGGGGTAGAGAGTCGTTTTGGATGATTTCATGATAGTATCCAAATATGTTCGATCGTCCTCAAGCTTGCTGCCGGCCAAGAAGAGGCTCTGGTGGCCACTAATCTTTTTCCTGACATGAGTGATCGTGTCTGATGGCCCCACTTGGAGCGCCATGGTCTTGCTTGTGCGTTTCTGTACGTAGATACAGATGCTGTCGCTACAGGATGGAGACCGATGACAAGAAAGAAGACACATGGTGGGCAACTCATGGACGTTGTAATCGGAAAGCTTGTGCCCATCCTCAAGCTTTGCCTTGACGCTGTCAACCGTGTCAGAAGAGGACTCCACATAGATGACGACTGTTCTGCCATCGAGGTCCTTCACGAAGATCTTCATCTATACACAGCCTATGTACATACAAAAATGATTAATTAGTGGATAGATATGTATATGCCGACCGACCTTGGTGAGTTGAGCAAGCAAATTAACCTAAGAAAGACTACGTAAGATATCTGCTAAGTGGATTTATCTGGCCAAGAGAATGTAGTTGTAAGATATCTGCTAAGTGGATTTATCTGGCCAAGAGAATGTAGTTGTGTTCGCATGTGCATCGATGATAGATCGATCGATCAGGTGTGTCGAAAAAACAGAAGAAAAGGGTGTACATTACCTACTACTCCCTATATCCCAGATTATAAGACGTTTACTTTTTTGACTCCAAGTTTGACCACTCGTTTTATTAAAAAAATTGTGCAAACATAATCAAATTTAAGTCATTCTCGAAGAACTTTTATTAATAAAGCAAATTAAGATAAAATAAGTGATATTTTGCACAAATTTTTTAAATAAGACGAGTGTTCAAATTTGAAGTCAAAAAAGTCAAACGACTTATAATTTGGGATGGAGCTGGTACAACTCTATGGTACTCACGGGCTCACGGCGCAGGGACTTCGTGCGGCCTGAGCTTAGGGCATGCGGAGCTAGGGAGAGAAGAAAGCGGACGCCAGGTTAAAAGGATCACCTCGTCGTCGTCGGCGTCGGCGGCGGCGGCAGCGTCGGATCGGAGTTACCACGATGGCGTCGTGTTGTGGGAGCTAGGTCGTCTCGTCGCGATCACAGCTAATAAGCCTAGCCAACAACGGATGCCCCTAAGCTTCGTATGTTCACCCGGTTTTATTTTCTTTTCCGTTGAGCGTGTTTCCCAGGACGTCCGAGTTCGTTTATGTTTCCGTTTTTCTTATTCTTTTGTTTTAATTTTCTGTCCATCCGCAAGGTTATTCCTTTTTTCCGTAATAATACTTGGTTTAGGACGTCCGTCCGTCCGTCCGAACAGAGCCCGACCCGTGCGGCTTGGTAATCAAGAAAAAAAGAGGCGCGAGCAGTTGCAGTCAAACGAGGACTGCACCTGTCAGTTCCACAGGTCAATGCTTGGGAGCCCGTACAGCCACTTGCTTGGTGTGGGATGCATGCGGCGCATGGGGCCATGCATATGCGGTGTAACCAGAGAGTGCGCGGTGACAAGAGAGTGCGCGGTGAGCCCTTAGAGTTCATGAGAGGAGCTCGGGCTCGCATCTGTATGCGACATTTGCTGCTCCCATGAGGGTGACCGTGGGCATCGAGCTCCGTGCTGGCGTATATGTTTCAGGTGTATGTTTACTATGTTTCACTAGTTATATGCCCGTACGTTGCACAGGGGCCACGAATTTTTGCCCACGCCTGTGACGATGCACATGATTTGCGGTTTTGACCAGCGTATTATGAAATCTTCAAATCTAATTACATATAAACTATCACTACTGGAAACAGGGCCTTTGCCGAGTGTCAAAAATTGGGCACTTGGCAAAGACCTTCTTTGCCGAGTGCCGCACTCGGCAAAGAATTGCACTCAGTAAAGAATTCTTTGCCGAGTGCCGGGTACTCGACAAAGAGCACTCGGCAAAGAACTTCTTTGCCGAGTGGCAGGCTCTCGGCAAAAGCGCGGCACTCGGCATAGGCTGCCCCGCGTAACGGTGTTCGGCCACGTCCTTCTTTGCCGAGTGTCTGCTGTTAGACACTCGGCAAATTTTTTTTTTTGGAAAATACTTTGCGGAGTGCCCCTGACACGGCGCTCGGTAAAGATTCAATTTTTTTAAATGTCTTTGCCGAGTGCCTAACAGCTTCGGCAGTCGGCAAAGGGAGGAATTAAAAAAATTACAATTTTTTTTGAAATACCTTTGCCGAGTGCCCCTGTGAAGGCACTCGGCAAAGAGGAATTTTTTTTTGAAACAACAAAGAGGAAATTTAAAAAAAAATAAAAAATCCTCTTTGCCGAGCACCTTATTCTTGGCTCGGCAAAGATCCCCTTTGCCGAGTGCCATGCCCTGGCGCTCGGCAAAGTTTTTTTTTGTTTTTGGCCTCTAAAATTTTTGTGCAGCCCTTTTAAAGTACCAGGAACTCCTCGTTAGAATTTGGGAATTTTTTGTGGCTTTTTGATATATTTAGTTACTTTATTTCGTTTACTTGAATTTTTTTCGAAAAATATAAATTTGAACTGCATGTGGTACGAATAATGGAATTGAATGATTCAAAAAATGATAGTCATGTTACTGAGTGTAGTGTGAGGCCGTATCCAGGAACAGACCCAAAATTTCGGACATCTTGTTCACGAAACATGACCGCGAACTTGCGTGCGAAGTGTTTTTAAATTCTATAAAAAGCAAACGAAGTCCGAAAATCATGAAACTTGTTGAGATATCGTGATATCGTATGTGGAGGCTATGATAAAATTTCAGAAGATTTCGTGCACGACATGTAACATGTAGAGATGTCCTGGTTTGTAACCATCGTACGTGACAACGATGGAGCGGTCCCCCACGGTGGAGCATATAGTCAGCTCAACACATGTAGTCGTGCTCCCTTCCTCTCTTTCGCATTGGGGCACACGTGTTGTGCTCTGACTCTCGTATTGGGGTACGCGCGCTGTGATCCCTCTCTCTTGCATGCAGCTGTAGTCTCTCTCGCATTAGGGCACGCACCATGTGGTCTCTCTCGCATTAGGGTACGCGTGCTATGTTCTCTCTCGCATGCAGCGGTGCTCTCTCTTGCATTGAGGCACACATGTTGTGTTCCCTTTCTCTCCCTCGCATGCAGCTGGGTGGGCAGGAGGCGTGGGGCGCAGCAACAACAGGAGGAGGTATGGGGCGCAGTAGCAGCAAGAGGAGGCGCGGGGCGCATCAAGCGCAACAGCACACGTGGACGTCCGGATGCACGGGTCTGTCAGAACATCCAGGCGCTAGCATAGCCCTTTTTTCGTCCTACATGTTGCCGCCTACGTGTTTTCTTTGTCTTAGTCATTTTCCTTCATTTTCTTCGCCGACAGTAAAATTTATCGTCGCTTTATTTCTGTCTGGTGATTTCCCGTCGGTACACCGATAGAGACATTAATTTTCCAATTTTCTATTTGTATTTGCGATCACCATGTCAGTTTCCCACTGACACCGACAATTCGAGCCTCTAGTAGTGAAAGTGGCGACGCTCCATCTCTCCATTGCCATATAATGGATCCTTTGGCCTATGCTATAAGACAGGTACAATATTGTATATTAGTGATTATTAATTGAAAGATATTAGTATTTATTCTGAATGAATATATCAATATATAGTTCATCTATCTCATAAGACCAAGGACTGCTTTTTTTTTATAGAAATGTTTATGCTTTACGCTTGACATCGTAAGTAACATTCAAGCGGATATATAATAGGCAATTATAACACCGTCATAGAAAACTCTCGAATTATTATTACCATAATGACTTCATATAGGCAGGCATATGAGCCCAAGAAACACAAGAAGCTAGGATGAAGAAAACTATGGGCTAGCAGCACACATGCTGCTTCGCAAATCGGAGACTCAGTTGCAGCTGGGGCTCTGTGAGAAAGCTCTGGCAGGGAAAGATTCGGTGGAGCTCTCGACCTGGAGATTGATATTGTTGCCCGCGTGACTGACCTGATTGATCCCGAGCGACGCGAACTTTACCTGAAACGTCACGCCGGACACACGGCTGATGGAGCCGGACTTGATGATGCCGTTAACGCTGGTGCCATACCGAAACTGTAATTTCGTTCCACCCACCGTGATAAAGAAGTTGCACTCCTTAGAGAGTGTCACCTCCAAAGCACCGTCTGGGTGGAGCACATATGACTTCACGCCAAGCGGTAATAGGCCCCGCGGCAAGTTGTTCTGGGATTTTTTTTTTACTTTTAATCCTTTTTTAAACAATATTTTAATACAAATTCCAAAAAGAAAGTATTTGCAAATCTATCCCTTTTGGTTGCCCCAACGCGACTGGCACGACTGCACCACTTTGTCGCGCCACATGCGCTGTCGCGACAAGGCACTACCGGAAACAGTAGGTATGCGTGACTGCACCACTTTGTCGCGCCATGGTGGCACGCATCGTTGACCGGAGCTGGCGTGACGTTCTGTGGGGCCCGCCCTGTCGCGCCAACGACTCAGGCGCGACAGGGTTGTCGCACAAGCCGGGTCAAATACGATATCGCTGGCCCGGCCCATTTTTCTTTCTCTCTTGCTCTCCCTCTCCTTCACTCCACACGCCTGGGCGCCGCCGCCGCCGCCACCGCCACCCCACGTCCCCAGCCGCCGCAACCATCTGAGCCCGCGCCGCCGGTGAGTTGAGCGGCTGCTCCTGCTACCCTCTCTCTCCCTCTCCCTCGTGCGGTAGGGGAGCGGCACCAGGGGGAGCAAGCGGGCTCCTCGCGTCATCGGCGCGCCTTGCCGCGGCGGCGCCGCCGGCGAGGTTTGTCCCAGCATGGTCCGCGACCTCCTGCTCCATGGACTCAAGTACACCGCTAGGCTGATCTTCCCCCCTCTTTTTATTAATTTCTTGCCTCATGAGTTTGAAGACTAGGGTTATGAAATTAGGGATGGTGACAATGTTTTGATCATTGCTTGTTAGTATTTGATGCGTAGATTAGGTTTAGGATATACTCTGGCCGTGGATTGGACGTAAACTACGTGTTGCATGGACTTTGGTAGTTGGTGCATGGTGGATTTAGATCGAAATGTTTGTTGCCTTTGTTGACATCACTGTGAAGTTTTTGTTATTGTAGTGTACTAGTGAATGGATATGATTTATTTCCAAAATGCGTAGTTCATGTGTTGTTGATGTGTTGGTTCGTATTTTGTAGATGGATCGGTTAGTGCAATTGTTTCATGGTGGCAAAGTGAAAGGAAACGGGGAGTTCGAAAGCATGCACGAACATGTTGAGTTCTTTAGTGGACCTCCTACCTTCGATGCTTTGGTTAGCAAGTGCCGGGATAAATTTAGGTGGCCACTAAGCTTGAGAGGCAGATTTGACTGTGGGAAGGAACGGGCACATTATGTGTTGATGTCTTTGTCATGTGAGGATGAATGGAAGAACTACATAGAGGTTGTCATGAGTAGCAGTGTTAGGTGCTTTGAAGTCATTGTGGAGAAGGGGTCTAACCGAAGTGTGGTGGCTGTGGATGATAGTGTTGATGTGGAGCCCGTAGAGAACCTTACCCAAGACGAAGAATTGCATGCGGTTGTCGTTAGAGAAGTTGATGGGTCATGTGAGTCCGGTGCCTTGAATGATGATTTCGATGAAGAAACGTTTGATGAGGACGATGGCAATGGAGATGGAACACATGATATGGACGACATATCCCAAGGATCAGAGGATGACGAAGTTGATGTTGCCTACGTGGACGAAGATGACTTTACTTCGAGGCCAAGTACTTCGGATGATGTGTTGGAGGACGAGTACAGGTCTGAGCCTAGTAGCGAGGACAAAAGTGATTGTTTTGACGGAGGGTTTCCGGATGCAATAGGAGTCCTAGCTGATGGGTCATTGAGAATGGAGTACAATGACGTAGAATTGAGGCAATTGAAGGCTGTCCAAGTGGAGGTACCCTCAGTACCAAATTTCATGGACATTAGAATGGTTGACCTGGCAATATGTGACACCGGTTTGTCATTGTTGGCCGATGAGGTACCAGATAGTGAGGAGGTGGAGATTAAGAAGGGAATGATATTTGATACGTTGGAGCATCTCAAGTATTTCTTGATGGATTATGCCGTTTAGTTTCATAGGCCATATTATGTGAGCCACTCAAACAAGAACAAGAGGTACACGGTCCTCTGCAAGAATGGATGTGGATGGGGTCTATGGGCTCGGAGGCAGAGAAATGAAAAGTGGAAGATTCGCAATGTGAGGCAACCTCACACGTGTCGATCTTTGAAGCCGAAGGGTGTGCACGCCCAAAACACAGCCCGTTACCTTAGTCGTCATCTCATTGGCACGATTAGGGCCGGTAGTGACACATATCTTTCAAGCATGATCAAGATAATATTTGGGTTCACTGGTTATAAAGTGAACTACTTAAAGGCATGGCGGGAAAAGCAGCATGCTACAGAGTTGCTATGGGGCGATTGGAAAAGAGGCGTACAACCAAGTTCCTAGGATTCTAAGTGCCATGAAACACTACAATCTAGGCCTTAGGTGGTATCCTTATGTGGGTCGCATTGTGACGGACGTGGATGGCATTCTGAAGCATGTTCTATACAGAGTTTTTTGGTGTTTTGCTCAGTCCACGGAGTCCTTCAAGCATTGTCGTCCCTTAGTACTTGTTGATGGTACATTCTTGACAGGCAAGTACAGGGGTGTATTGATGATTGCCGTTGGAGTGGACCCGGACAATCAACTTGGCCCTTTAGCATTCGCTTTGGCTGAGGGTGAGAACGACGATAGCTGTTGTTGGTTCTTGAAGCTTGTGAGATAGAATGTGCTCCATTCATCTTGGAACATATGCATGATCTCATATCGGCATCACGGTCTGCTGACAGCTGTAAAAGAGCATGTAGATGGATGCCCTCCTCTCGAGCATCGGTGGTGCATGAGGGACTTTGCTGCCAACATGTGGAGGAGGCAGAAGAAAAAGGAGGTAGTGCCAAAGTTGAAGTCACTATGTGGGTGTCAAACTAAGGAAAAGTTCGAAGAGACGCTTGCGGAGTTACCGAAGGTCCTCAATGGTAGGGCAAAGAGTTGGCTTGAGGATCAGATGCCTCAAAGGGACAAGTGGGCTCTTGCATTCAATGCTGGAGGTCTTTGGTATGGCGTGATGACTACCAATTGTTCAGAATCGTTGAACAAGGTGTTTAAGGGTATCCGTGCAGTCCTCGTGTCAGGTATTGTGGAGTACTCGTTTAGGAAGTGCAATGAATACTTTGTCAATCATTGGAACATAACAAAGGCGTCCAAAGAGAAATGGGGTAGAGCTAGTAGAAAACACTTGGATCTCTTGGAGATGATAGCTTCCAATCAAGTGGGGGAGGCCTTTGGGCCATCGAGGTTAGTGTACAATGTCAGGTTAGCTAGAGGAACGAACCCGGGGGGCGAGAAGTATGATGGTAGGAATTTTAGGGTGGACCTTGAGAAAGTGGAATGCTCTTGTAACATTCCACAACTCCTCCATGCCCCTTGCTCCCATGTCATTACAGCTTGTAGATGTAGGGGTCTATACCACGAAAGTGAAAAGTTCATGTCTCCTTTTTACCTCATGTCAAACACTCTCACTGTGTGGGAGTCGAGCTTCGAGGCTTACCTAGATCCGACATAATGGCCTGAGTACTATGGGTTGGATTATGTTCCTGACCCGGACCTTCTGAAGACAAAGAAGGGTAGAAGGAAGCAAAAGTGGCTTCGAGGAGTTATGGATGCATCGAATGGGTATGGTGAAGATATGTATGGTTTTGACGACTTTGATGAGGCACCGGGACAGGTCCGTTGCTCCAAATGACACAAAACCGGTCATACCGCTACGACACGTAAGAAACATAAGAAGTCAAAGAAATTAGAAACACAGAACGAGAGTCATAGTGGTTCGAAGGTTAGAAAGGTACATACATAGATTTAAATAGGTGTTGCTTATATATTACATGCATTTGTTTGTTGTTTTTGTACCATCTAGCACGTTTTATTCACTTTTTCCATATTCTAATGTTGTCCCATCGTTTTTATAATTGTAGCATGGTGCACCCACACTTCCCCCTTCTTGAGAAGTACTACGACAAGGACCACCGAGCGCACTTGATGGTTGACAACGGTGATGTAAGTTAAGTGATTTGCACATATTATTTCCTTTTCATATATAATGTCTTAACCCCGTTATCAATTCTAACATTGTTTTTTGCAGGCCTTGGGCCTGCTACGTCCCCGAACTCACCGACCGCTCGTGTGGGACGAGTGCTACGCCCCCTACCTCGCAAGAGCAGGAGCCAATTTTTTGGGCTTGGCTAGAGCTATTAATGCTGGCCTCCTAGACATGGATGGTCCCCTCCTCACCGCCTTCGTCGACAGGTGGCGTCTGGAGACCCATACCTTCCACCTACCCTCTGGAGAGATGTCCGTGCTCATGCAAGACATTGGCTATATTTTGGGCCTTCGCTTGGACGGTCCGGCAATGACAGGCATGGTAGAGCCACTCAACTAGTAGGATATGGTGGAGCAGTTTATCGGCCACCGGCCACCCGACCCCGAAGAAGGGAAGAAGGAGAAGAAGACTTCGGGTGTCAGCTCAGCTTGGTTGTGGCAATGCTTCAACATGTGTCCTCCCCATGTACTGGAAGATGTCGTTGAGAGGCACGCTTGTGTCTGGCTATGGCACATGGTGGCACAGTTCCTGTTTCTAGATGCTTCTGGGAACACCATCTCGTGGATGGTCCTACCCTAGCTACGTGAGCCATGGGAGAACATCGCCCAATATTGTTGGGGGTCTGCCACTCTTGCTTGGTTGTATCAGCAGCTATGTGAGGGATGTAGGAGGACCAACCCCAATTTGAACATAGGTGGTTGCACATACTTGCTTCAGATTTGGATTTGGGAGCGCATTCCTATCGGACGGGTGCATAGAGGTAGAGTTGCGGTAAGTATCTTGCATTTAATTGCTATATGTGTTTCATTTACTTCATGCACTATGTGAAATGCTTAGAATTGTTTTGTTTTTTAGACTTGGACACATGGTGACAGTCGTCCCTCCATATGCTACCTTTGGACGGGAATTAAGTCGGTTCGGGGCCAGTCGCAATGGCACTACGTTCAATACTCCAATGATTTGGATGTTTTAACTTTGAATCAGGTTCGTTCTACCGTCGAGGCTTCCATTCTTTTTCTTCATAAAGTATCAACAAGGCCATGTATGTAGTAGAACCATCCAATTTATATGAACACAAGTACAATAGCAGCCCACAAGCGGTCGCACTATCATACTTGAGCCCATATAAATCCAGTAGTCCATCGATTACCACGAAGGGTCTCGATTCAACCAACATACAACCAAGATCGTACATGATTCAACATACATGTCACACATTACATAAAGTTCACAAATATAGTTCCATGCATCAGAGTACGATTAAAAGTTATTACAAACGAAGATCAGGTAAAATAGTAGTGCAACCAATTAAAGTTTGAAACCAACATCTCCATCGTTGTTCAAATACTGTGCCAGCTCATGATCACAATCCCACAAAAGCATAAGAGAGGGATTAACAAGAGATGCCTTGCCCAGGGCCCTACTCTTCGTCCACGGTGGAACATAAGCAATTCTTACAGTAACCATGATACATCGTATTATCTACAACAATGGCAAATAAACCCTGAGTATAAGAAGGTACTCATCTAGACTTACCCCTCATAAACCAAAAATAAAGTAACTCCAAGGATCATGCAAGTCTTTATAAGTGAAGCTAGCTTGACAACATTTTGCATAAAAAGCACTAATTCAACTATACCTTTTATAATTCGGTCATCAAGTTAATTATAACAATTCATCTCTAGATTAGTGACTAACCTGTGCCAAACATGTAGTATATTGTTAATGATAGCACAATAATAACCATAGCCATTTAATATTTCATTCTCAGAACCAATCCACTTGCCATTAACACTACAATAGAAGGAAGCTCAGTCATGTTCTCACTATCCGGGAGAGACGGCGATTCGAATCGATTTAAACAAGCTGAGAATTTATTCCTAACACAAACCTAGACAGACTAGATTAATGGTCACCTTTGGTACAACTCAGGTCCACATTTCACAGGTTTGATCAGCGCCGCACAATCAGGGATGACCAGCTGCCGGGACATTCAGGCCCGGCCTGCCCTTGGGCTCACGTCTGGCTCCCCGCACATCCTTACTACCATCCAGAGTGCGCACTCTTACATAACAGGGCCTGGCCTGAGTTGAGCTACTCGGCTTCACGGTCGGAGCGAGTTATCTGGCCAGCTAAGTGAGAGGCATGCGTTCAAAATGACGAGGACTAACAACGGTATGGTCCTTAATCGGCGTAGATGGAATCACATGAGTCAACCTACAACATAGACTCCGTACGCCCACGATTTACAACATCCATGGTTCATTTACACGATAGCAAATATAGCCAACTATGGTTCAGTGCCCACCTATATCTCGCAGGTGATAGGAAATCACCCAACTTCTACCAGTCTAAGCATAACTAAGCATATATTCGATCCTGGACCTACGTAGGGTTAAAGGTATATATATGGATAAGGTAGTTCTATGCATCAAGTGTTTCCAACCAACTCTTATAACCTAATGCATCAAACATAAAAGACTCAAGTGATATTTTGTAAAACATGGGAGACTTAGAATGCTCCGGGGCTTGCCTTTGATAAAGGAAGTTGACCTATGATCTGAGCACTCGGGTAGGTCCTCAAGAGCTTGCTCCTCACCTTCTAGAGCTACGGGCTCCTCCGGCTCTTCATCGAATTCCAATAGAGTTATCCCTTTGGACAATCCTATATGCATGAGCAGGAAATAAGATATCATGGATGCATATATAATGACATGTATAATATGATATGATGTGATGAATGCATCCTCATAAGTGTTCTCAGCAACATTGAATTAAGGTGATAACAAGTTACATTTTCTTTTACTGAGTAGGTCCATATCTCTTTTCTACTAACTTAAACAAACACTTATGTAAATTATTTTCTAGACTATAAGACAACAGCCACTTGTTTTGACCATAACTGGAGTTATACACCTCAAAATAATATGGTTCTGGACATTATGGAAATCTTATGAAATTTCCTACAACTTTATTTTAATCATCTTAATGTGATTCGGCATTTATCTAGGTCAAATAATTCAATATTTTAAATCTGTCCAGAGAGCAAGCATTTCAGATAATAGACTTGTGACCACCATAATTTTGAAACCATAAGGCCTATGATTATAAAAATTTAACACAAGGTAGATAAATAAGTTATGTACAACTTTGTTATTAACCATCTTTATAGAAAAGATCATTATCATCATGAAATCATCACCACAACAGAAACTACACATGCAGTCATCTAGTTAAATTATAAAGCAATAATTAACTAGTTGCCTATAAACAAATATTTCTAAGCCTCACTAACAGTATCAATAGATTATATGCATCACACACACAGCATAAAACATCATGGTTAAGCCTAACTAATTTATTTATATTCATTTATTAATTTCCTTAGATAATAAGGTGATTTACAGAGTAAATATTTCTAGTGCTCAATAAATTCCGAGAAAATTATAGTATGCGACACATAACCCTAATAGTCTATTGTACAAATTTCATGCCATTTTGATAAGTATATCTACCTCTACAAAAATGACAAATTACATATGCTTATTTTAGCAAAAATAGTTTAGCATAGTGAAAAGTGTCAAGCAACAGATTTAATATTTTTTTACTTTCCTCCTAGCATCAGAATACTGTGTAGAAATTTGTATGGTCATATGTTATGTATTTTTACTCCAACTAATTTCACTAGAATCTAGCAATTAATTAAGATTAAATAGGAAGACCATATTACAAGTGACTGACGCGTGGGTCCCGCAGTCAACCCGGGCCCACATGATAGCGAAACAGAACAGAGGCGGCGCTTTGACCAGTGAGAACTCGCCGACGATGAGGTCATCGAGGATGAGGTCACTGCTATTGTGTTCTCCATCATCACGCGCATCTACCGGTACCCTAGGTTTGCTCGGAGGATCACCGGAGCTACCTCGCCGGCCATCTCCGGCGATGGCATGGTCAGGTGGGCCTGGCTACAACATCTATGAACCCTAGCGAAGCTCTACGGCATGGATCAAGACACTATGAAGTAGCAATGAGGCTTGGCCACGTGCATGGGGGCGCGGCACTGTAAGCACATCGGTGGCACGGTGATGTTCCGGCGTGACGGCAGTGGTAGCGGGGAATTGGGATATGGCATGAGCACCAACAACCTAGGGCGACAACGGACCGACGGAGAAGTAGGTAGGAGCTATGGTGGATAGGGCTGGCCACATGCGAGCTTGGAGCTCGGCGGCGCACCGCGGCTATGGTGGCGACGGCGACGAGAAATGCGGCCTCACCTGAGCTCAGATGGTGGCACAGGCGGTTCGGGGATGTGGACTGGCTCACGGCCGAGCGGTGTGCGCAAGCTATTGGCACGATGGTGGTGGCGCGCGAGCTCGGCGGAGGTCGGTGGCAACAATGGTGGCGCTGTGGTTCCGCTTCGGCGAGCATGAGAGCGAGAGAGAGATGCGAGGCAGAGAGTGAGCGCGAGTGAGAGGCGCGCGGCTTGACGTCCACTTATGCCCGCTCCATCCTGATCTGTGGGGCCATCATTGGCGGACGGCAACCAGGTGGCGGCCGTGGCCTGCGCATGGTCGGCCACGACGGTCGGCGCAGTGCTGCTCTAAATCGGCCATCAGGCCGACTGACGGAGCATCTTCAAGCGATTACTACTCCTAATCCGTGGCGCTTTAGCAAAAATTTCCTTAATAAACATTGTAGAGCTATGTGAAAGCTACAGGATTGATTAAAAGAGTTTTGTCTAATTTGCAATGGTTTTCTAACTACAAAGCTCTAAAGTGAGCTACTTTGGAACTGAAATCAACATTCTACACTAGAAAAATTTTAAGTCACAAAACAACATTTTGTTGGAAGTTGTGAGCTCTATTTGACTAACTTAGGCACTGAGTTAGCTCATGACCCTTAAAT